TTTCCCCATACACCATAAATGACTCTTTCCTAGGCGGGTTCACCTTTACTATCTTCTTCCTGCATAATATCTCGGCATCATTGACACTAAGCAAATCCATTCCCAGCAAGATGTCGAAACCATTCAGCTCGATAGGAAATAACTCCTCGTGGAACTTATTCCCATTTAGATCGATGAAGAGGTTTTTCATAAGATGGCTAACATGTACAAACTTACCACTAGCAACTTCGACTAATAAAGAATTATCTACTCTATTAACAGGAAATGCTAGTTTTCTACCAAATTCATGCGAAATAAAGAAGTAGTTGGCTCCAGAATCAAATAATATTTGGGCAGGCCATTCCTTTATAAGAAAAGTACCTGAAGCGACATCAACTTCTTCTTTAGCAGCTTCCAGTGTCATCTAAAAGGCTCTCACCTTCGGCTTTGACGGAATGTTGGGTTTTGTTGCCTCCTTCTTTTTCGGACAATCCCTCGAGATGTGCCCCTCCTCACCACACCCATAACAGACTTTATTGGTAAGGGTGCATTTGTTGGCATAGTGCCCTGGCATTCCACATTTGAAGCATGTGACTTCCCTATTACATTTTCCATGATGCTTCTTCTTGCATTTGTCGCACCATTTTGCTTCACCTCCTCCACCTCCTTTCGAACTAGATTTCGAGAATTTACCCTTTTTGTTGGACCCCAAGGGTCCGTCGAACTTCCTCTTCTCACTAACCTCTGACCTCTCCAGACCCTTCTCCCTGATTTGTGTCTCAACATTTCAAGCAGCCCAGATGGCGGCTTTCAATGTGGTTGCTTGCTTAACCATTGGACCAAATTCCGTTGGTAATCCACGGGCAAACTTGTTCACCTTTGAGAGTATAGTTGGAACTAGATATGGAATAAGCTTCATCTTCTCCGTAAAGCTTGTAGCGTATTCAGTAACGCTCATCCTTCCTTTCTTCAAATTCTGAAACTCAATGCTGATTTCCAGAAGGTCCTGCTCGGAGCAGTATTGCAATTTGAGTTGCACCACAAAGTCTTCCTAAGACATTTTGCTCGCTTCTCCCTTGGGCATTGAGTCAGCTAACAGCTTCCACCAACTAAACACGCCAAATTTTAACAGAGGGATCGCCAGAGCGGTCTTCTGTCTATTGCTGCATTCACAACTCTCGAACATTGTCTCCATTTCGGAGATCCATTTTATAACTTCTACCGGCGTCGGGCTTCCGGATAGACATGGTAGTTTGGATGCCATGAAATCCTTGTACTTACACCCACGCCCATCGTTTCCTCCATCCTAGTTGATTTGCCTAAAAATCGGTGGGTTGGCTTGACCAACAGTCTCACTAAAGTTTCCTCCTTCCGAATGCCCTTCATTCAACTCGGGTTGTTCAATCGGCATTAAAAGTTCTCCATGATTCTTCCGAAGCAGACATCTCGTTTCTTCCATATGACGATCCAACATCGTTTGAATCATCAATTGTACCCCAGCCATTTTCATTGGCTCAGGTGTTGCTACTACAATAGGTACTCACTCAATCACTGGTGGTTGATTCCTGTTTTCATCTGTGCTTCCAACGCCACTTCTGGTTCTTACCATTTTTTATCTACACATCGAATAAGGTGAATTTAGATCCTCAATCACAATAGATAATTAAATCATCCTTATCACTCAGAAACATCTACATGCTAGTTCTAATATCGTAGTAATACGCTTAGAATCCTACACACATAAGGTTTCCAGATCCGGTTGGCAACAGACCATAGATCCGAACAAATAATATCATATATGGCAAACATATAACATTTAGCACATAAAAGCATTTTAGGCATTTTCCTAAAGTATTCTAGTGCTCGTGTCTAAAGTATAATAGACACTCATCTCACAATCTTCACTTAGCATTCTAAGTTTAAGTCTAGAAATCTTACAAATTCCTAGTTCGCTTAAACTAATGCTCCGATACCAATTGTGACATCCCCAAAATCACGACTAGAAAAAACCGATTTAATTTACATTTTTAAAATTATTTTTCAGAGTAATCCTTTGATTTAAAAGAGTTGCATAAATTTGTTCCCAAAACAAAATATGATAAGTAAAAGTTATCAAAGCATTCCTTAAAGAAATGTATTTTCATATATAACAAAGCTCGGGATGTCATGTTCCGATACAAACCAAAGGCATAAACGGCACATTATAAGCCTTATAACAGTTATATACAACTACTGGCCTATAAACAAAATATCTTCACAAGTTGTCCAACTTATGCTCTCACGTCACTACCTGTAATACAAATAAAACTGAGTGGGTCAGACTTGGGAGTCTGGTGAACATATATGATTTTCAACCCACAATAAATAATTATATTTAATTTTCACCAACCAATAATAACCCAATTACCCATTCTCATTATCCTCACTTTACGTCCCTAAAACAACAACTATCACAAGGGACCTAATCTACGAATTTCATCTGAACGGACATTACTGCAAAGGGGTTTCCTCAATAGTGGATGTCCTAAAGGAATCTATGAGGGGGATAGAGTACACCGGTGAACACATCGTTCAATACCTACATGTTATGAATCTGCCAGCGTTCCACTGGACTATCTAGAAAGAGTCTGCGGTCATCATCCATACTCCGCTAGATGACTAGATCAACAACATCGAGGCCTCTCATCATTTTATTTCATCACACATCCACTATCTATCCATGTTCTACCCAACATCTTTGCAGATTATATATATATATATATATATATATATATATATATATATATATATATATATATATATATATATATATATATATATATATAACATAACATAAAACATGTATAAAACATTCAATCAATACTCATTTCAAATAACACATAACATATAAACACATAGCACGTATTTTATGGAAATACTTCGTATTTATGTGTTAGAAGAAATTAACTACACAATCACATGATAAGATGATTATCGAACAGTACTACAGCTCTTTAAGTAGTAAGTCTTCGATGAAACCGGAAGATCTTCACAAAAACCGGGCTTCTCGCGGGCAGAGTTTCGGTTCGGGAACTCTGTTTCTCGGGATCTTCGGGGCTTCGGGACTCACTTCGGGTCTCGGGATGATACCGGGGATTCGGGGGTATAAATTGCACGTAAATCAAGGTAATCAGGAGTGAGAGAGAAGATATTTGGCAACGACAAACGGCTGGCTTTGTGATCTATTTATAGTGCTGAAGTCTGCCCCGAACGCTAGGCGTAGGGGCGGGGTTTAGATCCTATCCCTTATCCGCTGAGTCAGCATCGACGTGGCCACTCCGGAGCTAAGTATTAAATGCATGGCATTCCCCAATTGGGCGCGGAGCGTTCCCTCTTTGGGATGCGTGCCTCGAACTTCAGAAATTCATAACTTTCGCATACGATCTCCGTTTTCAATGTTCTTTATATCAACGCGTAGGTGAGATTATGCTCTACAACTCTCGCTTTTCTCCGTCGACTAATTTTGAATTTTTTTATTATATTATTTTTAGTGGGTCGGGACAGGAAAACTCTGTTAGAAATTCATAACTTCTTCATCTGACGTTCGTTTTCATCTGTCTTTCTTCCGTTGCACTACTATTGACGAGATTCTCAATTCTTATTAAGATTGTTTCAGCTAAAACTCACTCGATCTCAAATTCGAACTTTGGGCAGCATACCGTTAAGTCGGAACTTAGAAAAATCATAACTTCCTCATATGAAGTCAAATTTAGATGTTCTTTTTATGTATGCTCTAGGTTTAACGAACTCTGTGACTTTCGTTTAGATCACTAAGGCTAAATATCGCTCTATCATAAAATCACTATTTACGTCACGCAATATCGTACCAATTCTGACGCGAAACTTCGACAAGTCATAACTTATTCGTTATAACTCGGATTTCGGCATTCTTTACATATTTGGAATCCTCGTCACGACCACTACGTCTTCATGTATAGATATTGGTTTTATGTAACATTTTATTTTTACGCTTATTTTTATTCTTAATTCAGTTAAGCCACACAATTAAGCATAAAACACATAATACTCAAATAATACATTCTTATTATTTCAAAATGAGTTATAAAGGTTAACTTAGACTATTATATTGTCAATAATGTCTAGCCCAGAAACACGGGTGTTACAGATTTAGTTAATTTTTTATCGATGGTGTTGATATAGATGCGTAATGAAATTAATATAGCCCATTGATTTTCTTAGGATAAGTAATGGACATGGTCGACCTTACATGACGTTGGCAGATAAGTAATGGAATTGGTGAAACGGGAACCTGACAACGGTCATCTAATTAATTTCAGAAAGGAAATATTTTGTATCGTAAGTTCGGACGATCATAATATTAATAAGTAATGAGATACTTATTAATAGCATGAAGTAGAAATGAAAGATTTAGAAAATATTACCCCCCCCCCCCCCCTGCCCCCGGGTTAGTCTACCGTATAGAACAATTAAGAATCTCCTCATATATATGCGCTAATTAGTCGTTTAATCTTAGTCAATAACCTAACATGATTCTTATTGATAATTGTTTTGATATAGTAAACTATTTGACAAAAAAAACTAATCATCTTTACCTACTAAATTTCTAGGAAAAAAAAAAAAAACAATTCGTATCTGATGCTTGTCAAACTAACGGGCTAGTCTCTACAAACACAAAGAAGAGCCGGTTCATAATTAATGTTGTTAGCGCGTTTATTCGAATAGAATGCCAAATATATGGGAAGTACAGTCCTAATTCCTAAACATATGGATCATTGACCCCCTACCAATCTCATCATCATCCTTGTGTTACTTCTCTACGCTTTTTTTTTTTCTTTAGAACGGCACTTGTATACGTGTGTATATATATATATATATATATATATATATATATATATATATATATATATATATATATATATATATATATATATATAAACAAAACCCGTCTCTAGTGTTTCTTTTCCTTCCTTTTGTGATCTAGCCGGAACAGTAATACCACCATGTCTACCTCCGGTGGTAGCAAAAGAAACTTTGACATCAAAGAAGAAGATCACAACAATGACATCCCCCAAGGCCCACTCCCTGGCTTGAAACGACATGATTCCTTAGATATTGAGTCCTCTAGATTTCCCGACCACCATGACCGTCACAACACCGAGGTCAGTATCTTCGATTTCTGTATACTTATTGTGACGGTGTGGATTCAATGACTAAAATGTTTGGAATGAAACTGGCTTAAGGGTAACTGGAGAGCAATAGTCAAACTAGCGTTTCAGAGCATTGGGGTGGTTTATGGTGACATCGGGACATCACCGTTGTACGTGTATGCAAGCACTTTCTTCAATGGGATCAAGCATGAAGATGACATTTTGGGTGTTTTGTCAATCATCTTTTACACCATCACGTTAATTCCTGTTATTAAGTACATTATGATCGTGTTACATGCCAATGATAATGGCGATGGTATGCATTCGTTCCCCATGTATGTGATTTGAAGAAAATTGTTGGAGTAGTTATTAAATCTGTAAAGTGTTGTAATTTGTTTTGTAATATATAGGGGGTACTTTTGCATTGTATTCGAAACTGTGTCGATATGCAAAGGTGGGTTTGATCCCAAGTGAGCAAGTGGAGGATCAGGAGGTGTCAAATTTCCGACTTGAATTGCCCAACAAAACAAACAAAATAGCGTCAAAGATAAAGAAAAGTCTCGAGAGTAGAAACTTTGCCAAGTTTTTGCTTCTATTTGCCGCCATGCTTGGAACCTCTATGGTTATCGGCGACGGCATCCTCACTCCGTCCATCTCAGGTGACCAATTTGACATGATGTATGCATCTTGTTTTGTTTTTTAAAAATGTCTATACTTTAATTTCATGCACAGATGAAAATCGGGTGATTTTAATCGTTTTTAACATATATTTGTAATTTTGTTATACAGTTTTATCGGCCGTGTCAGGGCTTAAGAAAGCAACAAGTACCATAACAGAAGGTAACTTCAACTTTTCATTCTTTCTGGCTAATTACATAAAATGTTAACCAAATTCGATTTTTTATAATATTAAAGGTAAGCAGCTTAAAAACAAAAATTTCATAGCTAACAAATTTACTAAGTGAGTAAGTGCATATGCTAATTTAAAGATTTATTCTTAATAAAACACAAATCTTCTAACTTTTGTGAAATATACTGATGAAGGAAGTATCGTTGTGATATCCGTGGTAATCTTGATGACGTTATTCATGGTTCAAAGGTTTGGTACTGACAAAGTTGGATACACCTTCGCCCCTATTATTTGCGTCTGGTTCTCCCTCATTGTTGGAGTCGGTGTCTACAATTTTTTCAAGTTCGACCCTTCGGTCGCTAAATCCATAAACCCTAAATACATCATTGATTACTTCAAGCGAAACAAAAAGGACGCCTGGATTTCACTTGGTGGCATCGTCCTCTCCATTACCGGTACTTCAATTCCCGATCAAATTAACTGGTTGCAAATTAATTTGTATCACAATTATCTGCTTCGTTTGTATCAGGAACCGAGGCGATGTTTGCTGATGTTGGACACTTTACAGTCAAATCGATACAAATAAGCATGGGTTGTGTGGTTTATCCGGCCTTGATCACAGCATACAGCGGTCAGGCGTCGTGGCTAAGAAAACACAAAGATGAAGTGGTGGACACGTTCTATAACTCGGTGCCCGATGGGTTGTACTGGCCGGTGTTTGTAGCAGCTGTTATGGCGGCAATTATAGCAAGTCAGGCGATTATATCGGGGACATTTTCCATCATTAAACAGTCGCTTTCGCTAGGGTGCTTTCCCCGAGTTCAAATCGTGCATACTTCAACCAAGTATGAAGGACAAGTTTTCATACCGGAAATGAACTATCTTCTTATGATTGGTTGTGTTCTTGTTACTGTTACATTCAAAACTACAGAAAAGATCGGACATGCTTATGGCAAGTATTCCATACATTCCAGTTAGATATAATGCATGGTTTATAAGTTACATATAAAGCTTTCACAATCATAACTTTCAGGAATCGCGGTGATATTTGCCGAGACGCTTACGTCATCATTCATGGTTGTGATCATGCTCGTCATATGGAAAACGAACATACTTCTAGTGATCTTATATGTTCTCATGATTAGCACCACGGAATATATCTACTTAAGTTCGGTTCTCTACAAATTCAGCCAAGGTGGATACTTGCCATTCTTGTTTGCGATCGCGCTAGTGTTCATAATGTGCACATGGAACTACGTTTACCGTGCGAAATACAATTACGAGATCAATCACAAAGTCTCACAGGAAGTCATAAAAGACATGATTATGGACATGAACATTAGTCGTATGCGAGGACTCGCAATCTTCTACTCTGAGCTCGCCCATGGCATTCCCCCAATCTTTAAACACTATGTTGACAATGTACCTGCTTTACATTCGGTTATTGTGTTTGTTTCAATCAAGTCGTTGCCAATAAGTAAGGTTCCTACAGAAGAAAGGTTCTTGTTTCGTAGAGTGAAGCCAAACGAGTTGTATGTGTTTAGGTGTGTGGTGAGGTATGGGTACACAGACATGCGCAATGAGAATGAGTCATTTGAGAAGATTTTGATCAAACGCTTAAAGGATTCTATTGAATCTAATTACGGAGTACTTGAAGAACAAGGTCGTACTGTAGAAGAGGATGTTGCGACACTAGAGAAAGCATCACGAACTGGAATCGTGCATTTAGTGGGCGAGCACGAGATTGTTTCGAGGAAAGGGTCTTCCATTGGGAAGAGATTCTTAATAGATTATGCTTACAATTTCATGAAGAAGAATTTGCGGAAAAGTTACAATGTGTTTGAAATTCCTCAGAAACGGATGTTGAAGGTCGGAATGACGTACGAGCTTTAATGACGATGAACAAGTGATAGTGTAGGTCAGTTTTTTTATAGCCAATGATGCATTACAATAGCTTAAATGTAGCAAGATTGTGATGATCTAAATAAAGTGTCTCACTTAGTTGTCTAAATGTGAATGTCATATTTAGAATGAACTATTTGTTTTATTCTTTTATAAAACATCATTTTTAAAAGGTAAGGAACTGGGGTTTTGTGTTTAAAAATTATTATTATTATTATTATTACTAACGTCGGTGAGTGAATAACTGATCTTACTTTTACATTCGTTTGATACTACAAACTTTTAATCACAGCCATTTAAATTGCATATTTACAGTTTTTGAGCGGTTCTCCTTCTTTGCTTCCGATCGATAACTCACCCCACCTCCCACGTTCCTCCGCTTCTCTGTAACTCCTCCCACAACTGCACGCAACATTGCTCGTCCCCCGATGTCTCCGTCTCAACTTCCCAGCACCCACTTTCCCAAAAAGAGATGATTCCTCCCGCTGACATCCCCCTTTTCTTTCACTACGTTCCTGTGAACGATTTCCCATCCACATGATCATATATCTCTTACTTTCTTGGAACAAGAAATCTTTGCATATAAATAGAGGTAGGGTAAGCTTTCGGTGCTCTTAAACAATAGACTATGGTTGAATCAAATGAGTCCCCCTCTTCTTTTATTTACTATTTTCTTCCAATATGGCATTGCACGATTTGAGATTAGATTTTTATTCTTGGTTTAATCTATATTGGTTTCTCGAAGCTGCATCTATTGTGAGTTTTAGTTCTATGACTTTGATTGTTGGTTTTCATTTTGTAGATAAATAAGATGAACTTTGATGCTGATGAAGAGATGAATGTAAAATTCCCAATCAACGTGTTAAAAAACCAGGTTTGTTATTTTTATTTTCCTATTTCTTTACTTAGACATGTTTCTTACTCTATTCCTCTATAATTGCTTACAAATTACATAAATTTTATCAATTTGATTATCGATTTGGATTCAAGAGAAGGAGAAAGGATAGAAGACACCCTAGAATAACATATCAATTCATTAGATGCTCTAATTATCTTCATTATTGTCTTGGTTTTTTAGTTATCGGACAAGAGTATCCTTTCATTTGTTCCTGTGATCAACGATGGACCAAAAATTAACCAAAAAAATATATGTCGATGAAGAACACCCACGCAGGTAATTTATTTTATCTTCATTTGATGTTTGTGTCTTTTATTTCCTTTCCACTTTTTCGTCTCAATCTCTTTTGTTATGAATTGGGGTTTTGAATATTTTCTCATAATATAACTGAATCGCACTCACCGGTTCTATTAATTAACATAAGTTGTCTAAAACAATGAGGATTTTGGAGGTTTTTATATGTGGTGTTATTGGGTCAACCGGTGTCTTTTGTAAATTGTAATGCACTGATTTAGTTGATCTTTATCTGGAATCTAGGTTAATTAAGCTCTTATTTCCCTCCATAAGTTTCATGTTGCTACTTAAATCATTGATAGGTTTTATCTTATTCATTTTGTAGTGTTAATACGCCCTAGATAAAGTGGAGGCAATGAACTATGGGTCATCACTAAGGGATTCAAAGGAGGAGGGACAGGGTATGCTAGAAAAGAATATTAAGAAGTTTAACAAATTAATGGAATAGTTCCAAGCACATGTTGTGGTTGTAGAGAAGCTAATGGAAGGAAAAGAGAAGGTATCCTATGATATATATGAATCATTTTTATAACATTCAAACCATTTGTCAGCTTTTAATAGAAATGCTACTAACATTATATATTTGATATGACTGAATTTATTTATAAATGGTTCATCATTATGCTGCAAGTATCATTTTGAGCATATATTGAGATATCGGATCATCAATTTGGCTAGTATCTATTCTACCATAGATATTTGAGCTTTAGAATATGTTACATCCCCAAATTTACGATCATTTTACAATGTTTACTTATGCTTATTTAAAAACAATGTCTATTTATAAATGTGGAATTTGGTCCCGTAAAAGTATTTTCGAAGATATGTTTTTCATTAATTTATAAAATCTTGTAATGTCATAACTAATACAAGAAACATAATCATAAATGTAGGCCTTACATCATTTATATCCTATATTTTCTCAAATCTCTCATCAGGTCCGGACATCAATGTCTTTGTATTGCTTTCTATAATACAAAGAAACTGAGTGGGTCAGGTTGGGAAACCTGGTGAGTACATAGGCTTTTCAACCTACAATAATAAAGTTAATATGTTTACTTATCAAACAATTAACACAATTTCCCATCCTCATTATATTCTTTATTCTTAAGGATATATCCTAAGGATCATCTATACTTATAGTACTAGTTCAGGGATTCCGCCATGATGCTTATCAGTAGGTTTTCTTCTATATTTATTCCTAAGGATTTATCCTAGGTATCATCTTCTTTATTAATAGTATTATTTTAGAAATCCTCCAATTATACATGTCAATAGGGTTTAAAATACACCTAGTGAACACATAGTTCAAAAACACCTAGTATAATAGTGTATGGTTGTCACCTATACTCTGCTACATGACGGCATGCCTAGTATAATAGTACTTCTAAGTTAAGGTCTTTTCTTATTAATTTCATCTCTCATCATCCATCTCCATCTTTGTTTTATTCCTCCCTCGTTACTCATTTCAACCAAACATATTATATGTAAGAAAATCCACATACAGTAAATCGTATAAAAATCATCTTATAATATTTAATCTAACACATAACACTTTTGCTTATAAGTACAAATAGCATTTATTTATTTACATACCTCATATCTATGTGTAAGATGAAAGTAACTATGCCCTCACTTGATGAAAATGGGTGATTGACGATTTCGGTAGCGCTTCGCTTCATACTTTGAAAAGACCTAGATGCATAAAGTACTAAGCCTTAGTCTAGTTTTGAAATCTTGGTGACTATAATAATTATAATCTAGATTCCTCATTAATTCCAATGTCTACATCAAGATCTATCAAGTAAGGATTAGTCAGGTAGGGTTGTTGGGAGGCAGGACCATTTCAGCGAATAGCCTTTCTAAAATCCAATAACCAAGCCAACATGATCATTCTAGACACATCTCCCGTAAGTATATCAATCAGTATAATGACATAGAATTACTGATAAATCTTATTTATAGGTAGCGCTTCACTTCGTACTTTGAAAAGACCTAGACACATAAAGTACTAAGCCTTAGTCTAGTTTTGAAATCTTGGTGACTATAATCATTATAGTCTAGATTCCTCATTAATATTAATGTCTACATCAAGATCTATCAAGTAAGGATTAGCTAGGTAGGACAGTTCGGAGGCAGGACCATTTCGGCGTATAGCCTTTCTGAAATCCAATAACCAGGCCAACATAACCATTCTAGACACATCTTTCGTAAGTATATCAGTCAGTATAATGACATAGAATTACTGATAAATCTTATTTATAGGTTCAGAATAACGACTTATGACTATAAATATAAGTTACAATGAAAACAAAAAAGTGTAGCTTAATTTACGGAGGTTTTCTAAAATACTCAGAAACCCAAGCCTGATCCCTCATCAACACCAAAACTACCATCTGGTCTACCACGTAGCGTCACTATATCGGTAATACACCAGCATTAACATCACAGTACTTATCAAAACTCGAGGGATCTCACACACTACAAAGTTCCCTGGTCTTATCTCAGCCCTCCTTGATTCGAGTACGGATCCTCTACTTTCAGTAGTACGGGCCCATATTACCTTCCACATTTATCTGTACTTTCCTCAAGTACTACCTTGACTCCACTGGGCCCCTTCCACCACTACTGTTGATCTCTGCTACATCCACCCTAGGCCCGCCCTAGCGAAATCCCTGACTCAATCAAATTCAGTCCTCAACTGCTGAAGGCCTCTTTATAATGCCAATTAGTCATCACCTGAATACCATCACATGTGACGAGGCTCATATAATCCTTCAAGTAAAAGACTCCTCCCTACAATGGTTGGACTCATACAAGAGCTGCGCAATAGGGCCAAATCTAGCACTCTGAGATTATTCTACCCTAATCACATGTGATGTGACGTATTCACCTAATGGCTAACTCTCATCACTCAGAGTCCCACAAAGCACAAAGCAATCAGCATTTGGACACATGAAACTACTCAAGCAATTCTATCCTCATAACGAGAAACTGTACTAGCATATAATGCTAAGCTCATACTATCAGGCATAACCTAAACAGGCTATCCTACTGTTGTCTACTCAATACTAGCATGCATTTCTCATAAAGCTGAAACACATATAGCAGGCACATAAGGCATCCTCCTAGATCCTTAGTCCTATTCTAGCATGTTGTTCTACTGAAACAGAAACAGATAATCATAACATAAACTTGTATGGGTAATTTGGGAGTACTTACTTGAGCTCGGATGATTGCATGCACCACACCCTTTTTTCTTTTTAAAATTTCTTTTCGCTTTTTCTAAAACTCTTTTCTTTATACTTTTTCTAAAATTGTTTTCTTTTCTCAAAATCCTTTTGTAAACATAGTTTTTCTCTTGCAAATTTTATACCACTTTCTTAGTTTGAGTTCAGACACACCCAGAAGAGTGTCCGAATCCCTCAAACCAAGGCTCTGATACCAACATGTAACATCCCAAAAACACAGTATGAAAATTTCATTTAATTTAATAATAAAAACCATAGTCGATACACCTCATATAAAAATCATAACCAATGTATCTCAAAATATTATAACAACTGTAAAGTATATCAAAGTATAAACATCCCAGGATGAACAAATGGTGTGTGCACTGCAATCTTCCCGAGCTCCTCTCTTGAAAACTAAGTACCTGAAACCAATTAATAATTGGGCTCCACCACATAACTATAAATACATACTTTGGGTAATTACAACATTACCCCTAGCTTGGCTTACCCAAACCCAAAGCCTAATCCATAGGCCTAAAGTCAACTAGGGATCAAAGCCCAACATA